GAGACTCACTGGAGGACATCTCGTCTCTTACGCACATGACGCGCTTCATTCCTTTACGACACACTTCATAGTTACTTCACAGTACTTGGACACTGGCATCTCTCACCATCTCAGACACATTCATTTACTCAAAACAATAAATTCTATCAATGCTCACCTTAACATGTTCTGCCAAGTGACTTCCACAAGATGCTAAGCTGTGTACAATATTCCAGAGATGTCCAGAGAAGACATTAATTCCTTCATTTAGGCCATCATTTTCTCTAAGCAGCACTTTAAGATTACACACATTAATTCTTTGTGCAACCCTATCATGGTATTGACACAGGCTGAATCATATAAAATTGCACCCTTCAACGGACTCAATAAGCAACATCAATAAATGGAGAACACATTACGGTTATCAAGGATTTCATTTTACTTGGATCAGCAATCAATGCTCATGGAAGAAGCAGTCAAGATATCAAACAGCAAATTGCACTGGTGTTGTAAAAAACTCTTTACAATTTTAAAAGGATGTCTCTTTGCGGACAAAGTGGACTTGACTGAGGCGTGGCATAGTCCACAGCCCTCATGTGCATGACAAAGCCGGACAATGACTAAAGAAGATCAAGAAAAAGCAATGCACCTGAGTCACTTTTCTGTCACAGAATACTGGCCATCTCCGGGACTGCGAGGAGAACAAACCCGTTTTCCTGGGAGGGGGTAAAGCCAGAACGTTTCTTATAAATAAGGGTGTCGAGACACTCTTTTACATACTTTGGGCACGTTGTCAGGAGAGAGCAATCCCCGGAGTAGGATATCTATCATGCTTCCTATGAGAGGACACGAGAGGGTCAGCTACAAAGAGGAAGGCTCTTAGCAAGATGGACTGGCAGAGTGAGTGTAACGATAGGTTCAAACACAGGTATACTTATGAAGATGGTCCAAGACTAGAAAATGTTTAATTCTCTGACATGCATGGGGTTGATATGAATCCACGTGGTCTTCGTGGCACTTAACTGCAGCAACAGGCTCCAATACGTTTTCACTTAAGCAATTAACAGAGGTGCTGCTCAAGGTATATTGGAACATTTTTGTTAATCTAAATGCAAAATATTTACTGTATTTCTAGGTAATTGCTAATTTTCTTACTGAAGTCTCTCAAGAACTTTTATTACTTTATCCAAAATCCTTTTGATAGCCTTCATACCATTGAAACACTTGATTAGCACATAATTAAACTCATTATGATTTTGTTCAAAATGTGGAAATGGACAGATCTAAAGCAAAACCACCCACCAGTGGCTCTGAACCTAAGGGCATCCTCGTTTTAAAAATCGTACTCTATGTGCAAAGGAAAGTCTTAAGCAAAGCTTTTTTCAACACTTGAATTCCTATTAGTGACGCCCAGGAGAGTGGCCAGAAAACCCCACACAGGACATTGGTGTGCATCACTAACATACACAACATTTTCTTGCGTCTAGTTAGCATGAGATGTCTGTGTTCATTGCCAAGCCCAAGGAGACTTAGACCTGCCAATCAAAGAGCTGCATGGTCTGGATTCATTCAGCCCCACTTGACTCTTGCTACTGCCTTCTTTCTGCCATACCTTTATATATTTGCAGTTCAACCTATATTTATTATCAGTTGACAGTCATCATTCTAAGCACTTTCTCATGTAAATAGAGCATGAAATAAAATTTAAAGTCGTATGTGTGAAAAAAGCATACATTCTAGAGTAAATGATCATAAAATTGAGCTTATTAAATAAGTATTTCACAGTATTCCTGATTTAGAAGCTGAATATATTCCATAATGCAGGGACTCAGCTTTTTGTTTAAAGGTCACAAGGAGATGTGAAAGGTGATATACATTGCTCTAAATTTTGCTAAATACCACATTAGACACTGAAGATTGTTCTAATAAATTAATAATCAATGTGCAGGCACTCTCCAGATAAAGACACAGGAATTCATCTTCTCCAGATCCTAATCACATCTTAGAATTCAAATGCTGAATCACCTGTACAGATGTTACCTTTTCCACAGGACTTTCTACTCGAGGGATGTTGATCATCGGCATCTGTGGCAGATTATCCATATGTACATGCTCATTTTCTGGTTGTCTTCCCTTGAAGTTATTTACCACACACACAACCTAAAATTTTAGAAAACAATTAGAGTTAAAGTAAAATCCTGCTGCCTTTTAGAACCAGCTTTTTAAGTGGCTTAATAACCCTAATCATAGTGATAAGGCATTAAAATCACTTAAATATTACATGTAAGCAACTTAACACTCAGATTTATCTTGTACAAATTTTAATTATTATTGCAATGCACATATAATCAAGAAAATTCTCAAATTAATATGTAGATTAATCAATGATGAATTTTTTATTATCCACGCTTTCATTACTTAAGGCATAGTCAATGCTCAAATGCACCCAAAATAACATCATAACATTATAAAAATTATTGCAAGCTAACCTTTCACTAATGTGAATAACCTACAACTTAATTTAAATGCTTATTATTTCCCATTGCTTCAAAATGATTATATTCATAATAAACCTTTTACAATTGATATTCTCAAATTTAGCAGAAACCCTTTAATTAACCTAGCTTATTCTGTATTATTGTATCCCATAAATACATGACATTTCAACAATAGCTTCCTGGGACGACTAGTGAAATAAAGACCCCCTGAAAGAAAGGAAATTGATCCTTCTTTCAATTGATCAAAAATCACAGGTGACAGAATTTTAATTACATGAGAGGTTCTGAAACTCTATTGTGCATAAAAATAAAGTTTTGGCACTGATAAAAAGAAATGTTGCCTAAATCATCCCTCTAAAGAATCTAGTCTAACATTTGAAGCCCAACACCCATTTGGTGGATTGACACATAGAGTAAACCTCTGAGGAATGCCCTTTGAGCATAGTGTTGGGATGTGAACAGCACAGTTGCTATCATGTTACCTTGTTCTCATGCAGTGCATTGGAAAGTGGATCACTGCAGAGGCAGTTAGGTTAGCATTTAATAGCTTATCATTTGGAACTCGCATTTGATCCATTTTAATGTTGTTTTAGTTGTTAGTATTTTCTGCTTTCTTTTCAATTGACTTTTTTCTCTGTTCTACTTTGTTATTGCTGATTTTTTAAAAGGGAGAATGTTTTTCTGTATATGAAATCCAGGATAGGTAAATCTAGAGAGACAGTAATTGAATTAATGATTTTTGGGGAGTATGTTAAGAGGAGGTTGTGGGGAAACAAGGAGCCAAAACCAGCGAGTACAAGAAGGGGAGAAAATGTCCTAAAATTGATTGTGATGATGATTATACAACTCTTCTTAATATGATTGAACTATTTTTGAAGCGTATGATATATATGTGAGTTACATGACAATAAAACTGCTGGAGAAAAAGAATCTAGATTAGTAAGTGAAATATTGAGACTAGAATTTAGCACTTTAAAATGTATCCCAGAAGCTTCTGATGTAAACACAGTCTAAAAATATAATGTTCTGAATCCCAATTTGTTGGAATAGCCAGTAGCCACAGAGTCTGAAAAGCGTTTGAGTAGTCATCCAAGGTGTAACTATCGGTCGCTCATGTCCAGAGGAAAGAAGAGTGATTCAACTCAAAGACACCTGGGAGCAATCAGTCCAATTTCTTAATGGGCAACTCAAAGAGACTCACAGAACTAGACGGTGCCCAGTTATCACTATCACCGACTCAGAAAGTGATTGCATTAGAAGGTCCTAGACAGAGTGGGAGAAAAATGTGGAACAAAATTCAAAATCTTAAAAAAAATCAGGCTTTCTGGTCAGATAGAGATTGGTGACAGCTGAAAGACTATTGTCCTCAGTCACCCTTCAGGTCTAGAACTGAAATCACCCCAATGGCTCAATTTTCAGCCAAGCCACACGCAGGCTCATACAGGTACAAGAACACGAGGCAGATACATAGAGCAAAGCCAACTATTTGCGATCAAGGGGACAACACTGACCCAAGGACAAAGTTCAGCAGGGTGAGAGGAAATGAGGAGCAGGGTACGGAAAGCAGAGGAAGACTGGGATATGTGATGTTGCCCTGAGGGCCCGCCACGGATGAGGCAGAGCGCGTTTTTTATGAACTGTCGAATGTAAAACTGGAGATCGGCTCTGTACACGTTCACCCAGTTCATCATAAAAAGTTTTAAAAAGAAGCTTCTCATGCAGGTGGGTGAATATTTTTAGAAAGAGTAAATTAACACATGACAATTACTTGGATTGCTTGGCTATATTCACTACTGGTTAAGATATTCTTGGGTTTCCTTTTGATGTACTTTATGTTTTATTATTAAATCCATATTCAGAACTTATTTGTAGTTAAAGTCTGTCATATTTTAAAAATAAATAGATAGTATGTGCCATGAATGGAATTGTCTCCTAAAGCACCTGCCAATGTGACTGGGTCATGATTCTCGGTGGTTTAGCAATCACAGAATGGCGTAATTGGCAGTAATGTCATGATGCATCATCTCCCATGATGCCCTCTGATGTAATCAACTCAGAAGGAGTAAAGGGATTAGAGCAGGATGCAATAACATTTCTCAAGTCATACCTCTCATAGAATGTAAAGCAAATTTTCCCCGGCATGTGTCCTACATCATCTTTCATCTTACAAGGGATGAAAGGAGAGAGAAATAAGCAGAGAGGAAGGATCTGACTACCAATAGAAAGAAGAGCCAGGCTTAGAGTGTGTCCTTTGGACCCAGGTTCCGTGTGCTAAGAACCCTTCAGATTCAGGGTAAGATTGATGTAAAGTACATGAATATCACCATGAATCATTACATTTATAGATATTGAAAGGAGACAAGAAAAGAGACAAGACAAGAACGTAGCTCCAGCAGAGAAAGAACGCCTCCCGTTGAGCTGGTGCCGGGAATTGGGTTCTATCGTCGTTAATAGTGAAAGAATAAATTCCTGCTGGGTAAATCATCTACTGGTGGTATTTCTGTAATAGCAGCACTAAATCATTTTGTACTGGTATAGTGGATTGCTGCTCTAGCACATATCTAAAATGTAGAAGTGTTTTTTTAATTGGGTAGTGATTAAAAGTTGGAAGATTTTTTTCAAGTTTTATTGGCATCTAATCCACATATCATAATTCAGTTATATCAAGAAGAAATGTACAATTATTACCACGATCAGTTTTAGAACATTTTCTTCAATCTTATGCCCATCACTATAAGCTTCCCATTTCCCCCCAACCTCTTCTGCCAACCCCCCAAGGAACCATCAAACAGTTACTGTCTCTCCAGACTCACCTAGCTGGATTTCATATACAGAAGAAAACACATAAAAACAAACAAATAAAAAACCTAGCAAGATTAACAACAGAAAGGAGATTAAAAACGTCAAAGAAATTAAAGCAGAAACTATTAAAAACTAGAACAAATTAAATGGATCATAAGGGAGATCAAATGATAGGGTGCTAAATTTTACTCTAATTACATCTGCAACAGTCTATTTTCCAAGGCACTGTACATGAGAGCATCTGATATCCATGGCCATAGGGAGTCACCACGGGCTTAATGCACAGGTACTTCTCCTTCATTTAAAACAAAAATTAAACAAATCGCTTTAAAATGGGTCAAAAGGGAGATCAAACTGCTGCCATAGTTGACTTTACAATGCTTTGTCTGACAAAAGGATTATTCACATCCCTCAGATATGATTGGAGGGGATTCACTAGAGGCTTAATCCATGTGTGGACCCTGAAAATGGATTTGAGCTTCCACTGTCATCGATAGCCTTCTCCAAAGCAGGTACTCGCAATCTGCACTGCGACATCATTCCCTCCTTTAGGTTTGGATTATATAAAATTCTTGAATGATGCAGGCTGATGTGCTTAGTTGATACGTCACTTAAATGGCTGTTTGAAAATATTCCTTTAATATCTGAGATAGTTTATTGTGCCAGCCTGGCTGATAAACGCAGGTGGGATTGACTGAGGGGCGGAGAGATGGATGGCTTGGTGAGCCTTGCCTTTCTTGTATCTTGCTCTGTGATCATCGGACCAGTGTGCGGCTGCCTTGCTTGTTCTGTGCCTCAATTTAAAGGCTACACTGCCTGTGGGACGCCTAGCATGTGGACTGTGTTGCTGTAAATTGAAGTCCCTTTAAGACTTCTCTGGAGCTAGGGACTGGCAATTGGTGACCTGCCTTGTGATTGGCTGCTGTGCTGACATAGCCTAGCTCTCTCTACAAATAGAGGAAGATCTGGCATCAGATAGAGACTTGAAGGACTGCTAGTCTCTCAACTTTCTCTCACAGACGTGAGTTGCACTAAGCCATTTATAGTGCTTCTAATTTAACTGTTTATTTCTTGTATTTTATATTTATCTGTATATGATTTAACATTTCATTTCTCGTTATATATCTAATTATCTTTATAAATAAATATATTATATTATCAGGAATTTGGTTTTATCTCTCTAGAGAACCCTGTCTAACACAATATCCCAGATGCTATTCTTTCTGATAGCTGGGCACCATCTAGTTTTTTCACCATGCTTTGCTACAGCACTCATATCTTCAGTGATCCCTTCATGAGGTCAACCACCAAGCATTAAGGAACTCATAGTTCCTAGACTGTGGCTAGAACTAATTGCAAGCCCAAATCCATGTATCTATGGTTTATTTATATCTCTGGTTCACTCTAGAGACATCTGTCATTTTTTGTTGGAGAACATTATCTATCATCCTCTGGGGCATCAATGAGGTTGGAAGAATTTTAAGGTGCCTTTGGTAGTTGAATATAATCTGGTGTCAATTTGAGAGGATTATGGGTGAAGGGATGGAGTCTGGCCTGTCAATCGAGATATAACCAATGAGGCCTCTGTGTGGGCATGGCCTTCTCCTGAGAATTCTGAGAATTCCTGTTTTTCCTCCTTGGAGGCGGGAAATACTTCACTCTCTCTGCTCATTCCTTGGAGACTCTCTACTGACAAGGCTGACTCCCTGCGAGATGTCCCTGAGGAGAAGTCACATGGACCTACCCTGATGCAGCCAGAACCCTGGACTGGAGAAGCCACGGGGAGACCTCTGCCAGCACTGAGATGCTTACAACGCCACTGGATCCACAAGACTAGTCTGTGATTGTCCTGCATTTGGC